CCAAAATACCCCCCCCCCCCCGTTATCAAAACACCCCTCTTTCCAGTTATCAAAATACTCCCCCTCCAGTTTACCAGACCCCATCTCATCACTACCGAAATGTCATCCCCAACTGTGCCAACGTTTAGGAAAATTACCAAACTCCTCCCCCAACGTACCAAAACCCAGCTCCACTTTACCAAAATACTCCCTCGAACTACCAAGCTCCACCGCCAAATTACCAAACCAACTCATATCCCAGATATCAATCCCCCCGTCCAAACACTCCAAATTATCGTCAAATGCCTTCCCCTCAGCAAGGCAATTACGATCCCCTCCCCCGTCCAAGATTTGAGAAGAAGTCTGCTAGAAATTTCACTTCGCTCATCAAAATCCGAACAAAGTTATTCGAGTGATTAACTGCGGCAGGATATATTCACCCAGTGAGGCCCAAGCCGATTGACACTAGCTCAAAGTTTTACAGACTTGACTAGAGGTGCGCATATCACTCCAACGGTGTTGGACATGATACCGAGGAATCTATCAACCTAAAGCATAAAATTCAAGACCTGATCGACTAGAACGTGGTCTCTCTCCATATGTCGCGCCAATGAAAATAGTAATCCATTGCCAAATCATGGAGGCGTCACTATCAATATGATAGAGACAGATGATGATTGGTGCGTGACGAAGGCAATAGTTTCGATTGCTCTTGATGAACTGGAAAGGGTTGTAGCTTCGTTGAGCATTAGAGAGAAGAAGGAGTTTGTGATTCTGACACCCGAGAAGGTTGTTGCCTTGGTGCCACGAGAAACTCTTGCCCGACCAAAGTTTGTGATTGAAATGGTTGTTACCCAGGGTATGACCAGATCTGGTAGGTGGTACATGCCAGAAGAGTTAGCCCAGGGAGTGCAGAAGAAAGATCAGTCTAAAAGGACAATTAGTGAAGCTGAAGATGAGGAGTTCTGGAGAAAGATGCAACCAAAAGATTACTCGATCGTGAAGCATCTGGAGAAAACACCAGCTCAGAAATCTGTGTGGGCCCTGTTGATCAGTTCACAACCGCATAGGCAAGCTTTAATGAAAGCTTTGGATGACACTTATGTACCCATGGGTATTAACAGTGACAATCTAGCAGCCATGATAAACCAATTTGTTCGAGGATACCGAATCAGTTTCTGTGACGAAGAGCTGCCCTTTGAAGGCAAGATGCACAACAAAGCTATGCACGTCACCACTATGTGTCGAGAAAAGATAATAAATCATGTCTTGGTCGATGACGGATCTGGTCTTAATATTTGCCACTTTGACTTTGAGGCAACTGAAATTCGACATGGTAAAGCTTCACCAAAACCAAGTCAATGTGAAGGCTTTTGATAGAGTGCAAAGAGACACATTGGGTGCAGTAAACTTCGATATTCAGGTGTGTCCTGCGGAATTTAACATGGAGTTCCAGGTGTTGGATATCAACACCAGTTACAATTTGCTTCTGGGAAGACCGTTTATCCACATGGCTGGGGCTGTGCCTTCTACCCTTTACCAACTAATGAAATTTGTTTGGAAGGACCATGAATTGGTCATTTATGGTGAAGGGATCCATTCTAATGGGTAAGCACCGATCGTTGATGAAGTCTCTCGAGGTTTCGATTTTTACAGGTGGAGCTGGTGAATGCCACCGGTGATGATTTGGTTCCGCAACCTCCTATGTTTGTCGTGTACAAGATGATTGTTATTGTCATGATCCAGAATGCTTTTGAACCAGGTTTCAGATTGGGGAAGCACTTTCAAGAAATTGTGGTGCCTATCCAAATTCCCACCAAAGGTGCAAAGTTTGGTTTGGGGTATGTCCCCACAGATGATGAAGCAGAGATGAAGAAAAAGAGTGTTGATCAAACATAGTCCAGGACAATTCCTCATCTGTACCAGTCATTCCCGGTGCGAGAATATGTCAATGATGATGGTCTCCAGGAAGGAATCTGGGGCCTTTATGAGGAGATTGATACGGTCATCGAGGAAGAGGCTGGGACATTAGGCATCCGTGATGCAGAACCTGAGGAGCAATTGCAAAGTTAGACCTCCACACCATTCCTAATTTCCCGTGCAGCTTGGTAGAAAAGACATGTGTTTCTGTTTGGTTTTTAAAATCGGTGGTAGTTCGGAAGAGGCCTGAGACCCACCTTTTATGCAGTTTTTACGTGTTTGATGTTTTTAAATTCCCTTGTGATGTTTAAAAAGGAGAAATGGCCCTTAACCATGGCCAAAGTTTGTTCTTACTTTTCAATTCAAATGAAAGCCTCTTTTATCGAAATTTGTTTACTTATCTATTTACATTTTACTTTCCTAATTTTGTTTGTTTATGATTTCAGTAATATTAATTTAAAACCTGTCAATGTCATGTCGTGTCATGAGTCGAACAAACGAAATGAGGCAGGTGATGATGAACGCGATGTGTATGAAGATGAAAATGAGGTACATGAACCTATTGTTGAAGAATTTTGACAATTTAAGAATCAACAGAAGCCAAATTTGGAAGAGACTGAGACTGTGAATCTCGGAGATGAGGAGTGTGTCAAAGAAGTAAGAATCAGTGTCCATCTGACCGAAGCTCAAAGAAGAGACCTGGTTCGTTTACTGAGAGAATACATCGACGTATTTACCTGGTTTTATAAAGATATCCTAGGGCTACGTACAAACATGGTGTCTCATAAACTGCCAATCAATCCAGATTTTGCTCATGTGAAGCAAAAAACTCGGAAATTCAAGCCAGAGTTAAGTTTGAAGATTAACGAGGAGAATACAATGCAGATTGAGTCCCAAGTGGTGGAAGTGACGCAATATCCAATTTGGTTAGCCAACATTGTTTCGGTTGCCAAGAAAGACAGAAAGATCAGAATTTGCGTTGACTACAGAGATCTCAACAAAGTAAACCCAAAAGATAATTTTCCATTACCAAACATCCACATTCTCATTGATAACTGTGTTAAGCATGAGATGCAATCATTAGTGGATTGTTATGTGGGTTACCACCAGATCCTAGTAGATGAAGAGGATACAGAAAAGACAGCTTTCATTACGCCTTAGGGTGAATATTATTATCGGGTGATGCCGTTTGGCCTAGAAAATGTCGGTGCTACTTACATGAGGGCTATGACGACCATCTTTTTGATATGATTAACAAGGAGATCAAGGTGTATGTAGATGATGTCCTAATCAAGTCCCGCGAGAGTTTGGATCACTTGACTCACTTAAGGAAATTCTTTAATCGTCCACGCCGATACAATTTGAAGTTAAATCCCGCCAAATGTGCTTTTGGAGTGCCAGCTGGCAAGTTATTAGGGTTTATAGTCAGTAGAATGGGCATTGAGCTTGACCCTTCCAAGATCAAGGCGATCCAGGAATTACCTCCTCCGAAGACCAAGAAAGAGGTGATGAGTTTTCTGGGAAGGTTGAACTACATCAGTCGATTTATAGCTCAGTCCACTGTGGTGTGTGAGCCAATCTTCAAGTTGTTGAAAAAAGATGCCTTGACCAAGTGGATCGAAGAATGTACCTATTTGTCCAATCCGCCGATGTTGGTTCCTCCACGAGAAGGAAGTCCACTGTAACTGTATTTGTCTGTCTCGGTTAACGCATTTGGATGTGTGCTTGGTCAACATGATGAGACTGGGAAGAAGAAGCGAGCCATTTATTACTTGAGCAAGAAATTCACACTTAAAAGGCGATAAAAGCACAAGCCTTGGCTGATCATCTTGCATAGAATCTAGTTGATGAGGAGTATGAACCGCTCAAGACTTATTTTTCCCGACGAGGAAGTTTCATTTGTGGGTAAAGATATTTCTTAAGCGTACCCTGGTTGGAGAGTATTCTTTGATGGAGCGGCAAACAACCAAGGGAAGGGCATCGGAACGGTCTTAGTATCAGAATCCGGTTAACACTATCCTATGGCAGCTAAACTCCGATTTAATTGCACGAACAATATGTCAGAATACGAAGCTTGTATCTTTGGTTTGAAGATGGCCATTGACATGAATGTTCATCAGCTTCTGGTTATTGGAGATTCAGATTTGTTGATTCATCAGGTTCAAGGAGAATAGGCCGTGAAGAACCAGAAGATCACACCGTACGTACAGTATGAGCAGAAGTTGTGCAAAAGATTCCGCAAGATTGAGTTCAGGCACACTCCCAAGACACAGAATGAGTTGGCCGATGCACTTGCCACCATTGCCTCAATGATTAAACATCTGAATACAAGTTATATTGATCCAGTGGATATAGAGGTAAAACAACAACATGTTCATTGTTCACACGTCGAAGCAGAACCAGACGGTTTGCCTTGGTATTCTGATATCAAGAAGTATTTAGAGACCAGGACTTATCCTGAGAATGCAACGTTCAACCAGAAGAAGTCGATACGCCGTATGGCTCTCAATTTCTTTGCAAGTGGGGAAATCGTTTATAAGAGGACTCCAGATCTAGGTCTCTTCAGATGTGTTGATGCTAGCGAAGCTGCGAAGCTGCGAAGCTTTTGGGACAGATACATGCTGGAGTTTGGGTACTCACATGAATGGACTCACTTTGGCTAGGAAAATCCTCTGGGCCAGTTACTTTTGGATGACTATGGAACACGACTGTTGCAAGTTTGTGCAAAAATGTCATAAATGTCAGGTGCTTGGTGATTTGACTCGAGTCCCGCCTCATGAACTCAATGCTATGAATTCACCTTGGTCATTTGTAGCTTGGGCATGGATGTCATTGGTCCAATAGAGCCAGCCGCCTCTAACGAACACAAATTCATTTTAGTTGCTATTGACTACTTCACCAAGTGGGTGGAAGCAGCTTCGTATAAGTCGGTGACCAACAAAGTTGTAGCTGATTTTGTTCACAACAACCTGATATGTAAGTTTGGAGTACCAGAATCCATCATTACTGATAATGGAGCGAATCTCAACAGTCATTTGATGAGAGAGATATGTGAACAATTCAAGATTACTCACCGAAACTCAACTTCCTATCGTCCCCAAATGAACGGAGCTGTAGAAGCCACCAATAAGAACTTAAAGAAGATTTTGAGGAAAATGATTGATAATCGCATAGGTTGGCATGAGATGTTGTCGTATGCTTTGTTGGGTTATCGAACGACTGTCAGGACATCAGTTGGAGCTACTCCATATTTGCTAGTATATAGAATAGAAGCAATTATACCTGCAGAAGTTGAAATACCTTCATTGAGAATCATCCAAGAAGCTGAATTGAATGATGTTGAATGGGTTCGCAAGCGGATTGACCAGTTAACATTGATTGATGAGAAGAGAATGGTTGCGGTTTGTCATGGTCAATTGTATCGACAGAGAATGATTCATGCTTTCCACAAGAAAGTAAGAGCCAGGATATTTGAAATTGGTCAGTTGGTTCTCAAACGCATTTTCCCTCATCGGGATGAGTACAAAGGGAAATTTGCACCAAATTGGCAAGGACCCTACATGGTTCGCAAAGTGTTATCTGGAGGTGCCTTGGTCCTGTCAGTGATGGATAGCACTGAATGGCCAAAATCGATTAACTCAGATGCTGTCAAAAGATACTATGTGTGAAGTTTCAGTTTGTATTTTCTTGTCATTTCCTTGTAATCGTTCTATTTGTTTGTAATCGCTTCGTTTAAAATTTTATCCATTTGTAATGAACTACGTCTGACCTGAATTCTCAAAAATGAGATACGTAGGTGGCCTATGTCGGCCTTGGTCACCCCTTTATCCCTTTTTAATGTTTCTTTTGTATTTGAGCTACGTTCGACCTAAATTCTCAAGAATGAGATACGTAGGCGGCCTATGTCGGCCTCGGTCGATGTCTTTGTAATTTTCCTATTTTTGTTATTCCACGAGAGGAGGAACTACGTTTGACTTGATTCCTGTCCCAACGGGATACGTAGGCGCCACAACGGCTCGGTCATCTCCTGTATGATTTCTATTTTTCCTTTACAATAGAAACTGGGACATAATTTTTGAGAAGGACTCAAAAATTCTCAAGAAGAAGATCTCTCCAACAAAGTCAAGACTGAAGTTACTTTGAGATTTGCAACTGGGACAAATTTTTTGAGAGGATCTCAAAAATTCCGTGATTTGCGCGCCAACAGTTAAAGATAAGCCAAGACAGTTAACTGGGAAAAAAATTTGAGGATGAAAAATTTCAACAGGGTTTATCGGTAGTTTAGAGCAACTTTGAAGTACTTCCCAATAAGTAATCAGATAGACCTCGAGACATCAACTCTAAAGACGTTCATTAAGCTTGACGTGACATGACACTTAGCAGTGACCTTTTCCAAATATTTCTTTCTTTAAATATCTATTTTTCCTTAAAACTTTTCTTTCGTCTTTAAATTATTTTTGCATAAAAATGTTGTCTTATCAATCAAGAAGTGGGAGATCGGAGAAATCAGCCGGAGATAGCAAGACAAGGAGCGGACAACTGAAGAGATCTACACAGATCAGTTCATTTTTCAAACTAACAATTTTTCTGTGGACGTAGGTCAATAAGTTTACCTCAAAATTAGCATGTTCCACCATTCAATGAATATGGAGAAGTCAAAAGGGTGAAAAGCTCCCGAAAATTGACAATTTTTCTATGGATGCAGGAAATATTTTATGCTTCTTATATCAAAGATTTGGGAATATGAATAACATCATTTCATTCAAATTCTCCAACGAGGCGAAGTCCATAATGAACATACGATTATGTTCATAGATGGGACAATGAAAACCCGAGGAAAGGCACTTTATTGTTTTCCATCAACTAAAAATACCTAGAAGACGTTCATCTGCATTATATTGTCAGATATGATAATATTCTTACCCTGAAGGTTATTTATATTACATTGTCGAATGAGATGATGCTACCATTCTAAGATTTCATAACATCCTATTGTCGATTGAGACGATACCACTACCCGGAGAGTCATTTATATCGTATTGTCAAATGAGATGATACCATTACTCTGAGGGTCATTTTTAGTTGAATTGTCGCATAGGACAATACCGCCACCCAGAAGATCACATATGTTGTCCGATGAAGCATAATCTTCGTTCGGTACTAGGGATGGCGTCATCAGAGAAAGAAGTCATGCATAGCAAAAGAAGAAAATCATGCATAGCAAGAGAAGAATCATGCATCAGGGGAAGAGATTCATGCATTGCAAGAGAAGATTCATGCATAGGGGGAAGGAATTCATGCATTGCAAGAGAAGATTCATGCATCGTGGGAAAAAAGGTCATGTATCGCAGGAGAAGGAATTCTTGCATCACATGAAAAAGATTCATGCATTGTGAGAGAAGATTCATGTATCCTCGGAAAGACAGTCATGCGTCACGGGAAAAAGATTCATGCATCGCGAGAAAGATTCACCCATCAAAAGAAGATCAACATCGGCTGCATCATTTTCTTTACAACAACAACATCAAAAGAACTATTAACATATTACAACAACCTATTTTATTACTTTGACATGAAAGAAAGAGTACATTGAAGATTATATTGCAAATATGAGACACAAGCTTTATTTGCTTTACATCAGACCCAATGAAGTTGACGTCAAATATTCAAAGAGAGAAATTAAGTGTCGGCACGGTGAAAGACACTATCTCTCCCCATTTGAATTGCCTTTTATGCTAGTAAGATTTATCTCAGTCTTTGTCGAGAGCATCCGAGAGGATGAATTCTCAAAACAAACCATAGGTGCGGATGACATCAAAAAGGATGCAGCACAACGTGGAACTTTTTCTTAGCAGCGAACTGGGACATAGTCCAAAGTGGACTGCCAAACTCTTAGGACGCGAGCAGAGGAGTGACTTCCACCACAATCAAACCACACCCCTATCAGAAGGCATGTGGGTTATCTTTGGGTTTGTCGGTTTCAGTTTCGCATCCAAAATTTTTTTGTCCCTATCGGATGCAGCTTTCCAATCTGAGCAACAATGTACCAAGAGCTTTGGAAATTATGTCTGTGTAAGTTCTTAATTATGGGTGTGAAGTGCATCACATTCATGGCTAAGAGGTTGCAAGCCTCTTTTTCATACTCGACTTACTTTGTCACTTTTCCAGAACCAAAGGTTATCTTGTATAATAGATTTTCTTTTCAACTGATTGAGTCAAACTACAAGCAGCCTGATTCCCCAGGGCTAGGGATATGTAAGCGAAATCAATGTTGAAAACTTGGATGTATTCCAACATTCGCTCTTAAATTTTATTCTCAAGCATTCTGGTACCTCCATAATTCGTTTGCGGGATGACTTATGAATTCTTTTAGAATCATGCATCAAATCAAGCGTATCGAACTACAAGTGGCCTAAATTCTCATATAGCCCAAGATATGTAGGAAACCCATTTTCGGGGTTCGGCCACAATTCCTAAGGATGACGATGTGGTCGGTCAAAATTAGGATTAGTCAATTTCATTTTCCTCGAATTTCTTGCATCAATCCAAGTAAAATGAGGTACAGTTGTTGACACCTAATTTTGACCCTCCCCGATAATAATTAATTTTTGAGTTTCTTAATTTTGAAATGTTTAGAATAATTAGCTTTATAAAATTCAAATAGTTTCAAGGTTAGTTTTAATAGTTTCAGTCGATTTTTATAGTACTTTGAATAATAAATATGTTTCATATAATTATATAGGTAATGAGTATATTTTAAGAGTGTTTGAAAATCATATCAAAAAATATTTTGCTTTTGCTAAAATAAATATTTTATTAATTTAGTTTTAGTTTGAATTATAGTTTTTGATTTTTTAATTAATTAGTTTATATGAAAATCTATTAGTTTATAATTAAGTTAATTATTCTGTCTCGATAAGATTAAAAAGCTCACAAGTTAATTACATTAATTTGTCCTATTCGAATTCCAGCCGAACCTTCTAAAATTAATTCGTTTGGCTACCTTTTTAATCCGATCGGCTAAATTATTAATTAGTTCTTATTACAACTTTAGCCAAATCTAACCTTTTATTTAAATCCACCTTAAAATACCAAAATGGACCAATTCAGCCGACTCCCAGTGCAAATGCACAGCCCATTTGTCCATTTCATATCCAATTCATTATTCCTCAAATTTTCAGCAAGACCCATTTTCCTTTCTTAGTTTTTTCTAGCCCACTCCGAACTGACCCAATCGATTAACTCCCCGACCCGGCCCACTTTTTTATTCCTCAAAAAATACCCAGCAACAATATAATAGGACAGCAACACCAACGTTCTTAAACAGCAAACCTAGGCGGCGTGAAGACAAACACAAACAGTGTCAGTTTCGTCACTAATTCCAACATCAATTCCAATCGATTCCTCATGGCGTGAACGATGCAAAAGTCACGGAAATCTTCATAGCATGAGCGAGACGCATACCGGTACTATGCTACAAAAATTTTGTCTTCTTGCTCTTGTCCCTTTCAATTCGTACTAACAGAGCAACAAAGCAGGCACACAGCTGTCCCCATTTCCTCTTCCGGAATGGGATGGAACTTCAGAAAAAAAAGAGTTACCCTTTAATGGTGAAAGTTTTTTTCTTTGAAGTTTTGAATTTATTGGCTTTTGTTCTTATCCGTTTTTTCCCCAATGGAAAACCCTAATTTCCCCATATATATAACATCTTCTGTTCATTTATGGGAGTGGGGATTTTTTTTGAGAAAAGTGGAAAGATTTTCTTTAGTTGGAAAATTTGGTGTTAGAGAAAATAGTTAGAGGGAAAATACATTATTATTAGCAAGCATTTGAGAGGAAGAAATACACTCAAACCAAAGGTCCTTGAAACTGTAGAGAGATCGGAAACGAGATTTTGTTCCGTCTTTGCTCTCGCTTGCTTCTGTTTTTGGTTCAACCAAATTCGTCGGAGTTCTTTTGTGGTTGTGGAAGCTCGCCCTTGTTCGTTCTCGTTTCCAGTCGCTGCACAACAAGAGGTAATTCCTACCTTCATCTATGTTTCACTGGTTTGTTCCTTGATTAGACTCTTGTTCTTTTGGGGTTAGTTTTCTTAATTGTTTGCTCACGGGGTTGTTTAGGTTTGTTCAACTTAGTTGTTTCTTAAGACTGACAACTCATATGTTCATTGTGACTGTATCTTGATGTCCGTTATTCGTATATAAATGTGATAAGAAAAGAGGTTATGGTTTAGGTAGTTTGCTGTTATTTTTCTCTTTATTAGTGCAAATCTTGCCTAATAATAATTGTCTTGCTTGATAAAATATGTTCAGCTTCTTTCCCTCTTTAATTAAAATATTGGTCTTGTCTTGTTCCATTTTTGAGGACTTATTTGGATTAAAATATGTTGTTGTTCTTAATTCCCCGCATCGCAGGAAGGTTCATTTGAGTATAGCTAGTATTGTTCTCTGAATATCTTTAAAGCATTTAAGTGACTAAATGGGTCTGTTGGTTCTTATTTTTGCAAGGTTTGTTTTGTTGTCGCCCGGAATAGGCTATTGCGATTTATTACATCTTGAAAATTGCAGCGTGTTTCATCTTCTGCTCACTCCAGATTTGGTTTTGGGTTTATGAGATGAGATCAAATTTTGTTTTCTTCATAAGCATGACTGTGAATAGCATGAGTTCTTAG